TTTTGGTAGCAGGGATCAAACTCCAGTCCTTGCACTTACAAGGCAGGCACTGTAACTACTGAGCTAAATCCCTGGCTCTGCCACTCTCAGTCTTGGGCCACATAAGGTGTTTCCTCTCCAGTGAGACACCCCTGCAGATGTCCTACTGCAGATGACTGCATTCAGGCAGCAATCTAGGCCTGGCCAGCCTCTGTGCAGCATGGGGGTGACAATCTGACCCATCCCCTATGCCTGAGCCAACCGCTGTGTCCTGCAGAGTCTGCAGCCCCAACACCACTCAGAGCACACCAGGGGAGGAGAAGGGCCTTTCCTGAGCTCAGCTTTCTGGCCCACTAACGGTGCCCTCTACCCAGCGATACCAGCAGCAGAAGGCCACCCACTCTGGTGAGGTCACACAACTAGTGAGAGGCCACTCAGGTCCAACCCAGCCTTGTGGCTCCCAAGTACCTTCTCCCAACATGAGCCACAGCCCACAGAAGAGTCAGCAGCCCCTCAGCAGGACAATGGCTTGGGCAGCCTCGCTGGGCACCTCAGAGCTGCAAAAGAGGTGGGCACCCACCCTACAGCGAGGCTGAGCGGTCCTCACAGAGCTCACAGTGCCCTCTCCTCATGCTAACGACCACGTGCCAAGTTCTCCTTCCACTGTCCTCGTGCATTGCTATGAAGACCGGCCATGGCACTCCGCCTTCTGGGCAACTTGTGCTCCTCCACTTTAAAGGAAGAACGTCCTGAGCCAGGCATGGTGATGTATTCCTGTAGTCCCAATACTTGGGAGGCTGAGACAGCAGGATTTCTTGAACCCAGGGATTCAAGGCCAACTTGGACAACACAAAAAGACATCCACCTCAAAAGAAAAAAAGGAAAAAAAAAAGAGACGGAAGGAAGGGACGGAAGGCAGAGGGAAGAAGGAAGACCCTCCCTTTACACTCTATGCCAGAAGCTGTGGCTGTGGTGAGGATGAGTGAGCTGGTCGGTCTGGCCCCAGCATAGCCGAGGGGACCAGAAGAAAGAGATGGCCCTGGCGTCCAGCTGGGAGGACATCAGATGGCCCCTACCGCAAGCTGTTCCATGCAAGGTCTTCCCCTCTGGGCCACCATACTGGCCAAGTGAAGATGAAGTGCAGGGCTATGCCAGCCAGCCCAACGTGCCTTTCCATCCCCTTTCCAGGTACTGAGTCTTGACCTACACATTGTACTCCAAACTCCAAGAGGACTCTGTAGAAGCAGGCTCTGACAGAAAGCATCCGCTGCACCTCTGCAGGAACCCAGCCTGCCACAGACCAACCCAAGGGCACGGCTGGCCTTGGCTGGCCCCAAAGAATGGGCTCATGGGCTCTACCCAGTCCCTATGCCGGGCACACATCTGCATCGAACAAGGGCTGGTATCATATGCCTTCCTGGCCAAGGAAGGGTCTGGCTGAGCAGAACTGCAAGATCAGTAAGTGTGGAACCCACACAACCACAAGTCCTGAGCACCAACGGTCACAACCAACTGCACGGTGAGTGTGATGGTTAATCTTAGCTGTTGCCTTGATTAGCTTGAGAGGTGATTAGGTGACTAGTAAACCCCACTTCCGAGTGTGTCTGGGAAGGTCAGAGGGTGTGAACTTGGGGACTGTACCTACTGTCTGCCCTCTTCCTCTCTGGCCCTTCCTACTCTCTCTGCTTCTTAACTGCCAGTAGGGGAGCAGAGTTCTTTTGTCATACCCTCTGTCATGATGTTTTTGTCCTGGAGTGAGCTTACCATGGACTGAAACATCTGAAACTGTAAGCCAAAATAAGCCCTTTCTTCCATTAAAAAAAAAGGAGGGATAAATATCAGGTAGTTTGGTCATAGCAACAAGTACACTGGGCTCTTGACATAGAAGGAGAAACAGCAGACACCCCCATTCCAGGAAGTTGCAGCACTAAGCTAAAGAGGAGAGTGTCCCCAAGCCTCTTCTGTGATGGCCAAGGCTTCCTGTCCATCCTGATGGGCGGGGTGTCTCGAGGTCACCCTGTGGGCCTCTCTGAGCATCTGCGAGACTGGTCGGCACTGTCGGCCTCGTCCCACGAAGGGCACCCAGTACCCAGCGGGCACAGTGTCCTCCCAGCCTTCACGGGGCTCATGGAGCAGCAAGTAGCTGCAGACCTACTGGGTCCTCCTGAACCCCCATGGCACTGCCTCGGGACTCCCTGGGCCCTCTCAGCTGCCCACTGTAAAGGAGCTGACTTCACGGGGACTGGCTGAGCCCCCCGTTGGGCAGCGGGAGTTGGGGTTTGGGGAGCAAGTGTAAAGTGGGCCTGGCAGGAAGGACAGGCACTGGCTCCTGACTGAGGGCGAGGGTGTGGCTGGTCAGCCCAGGGCCGCAGGCGCCTGATGGGAACATTCCGGGGTCCACCAAACAGGGGTCGGGCAACAGTGTGCACTTCTACCTCCAGCTGCTGGAGACTGCCCCAACAAAAGCCCCGTACCCCTCTGCGGCCTGCCGCCCCTGGAGAACCGCAGAAGGCAGGGGCTCCGGAGAGGCAGTTTCCGGGCTCGCAAGGGCCAAGGGAACACACGGAGGACTCCGAAGGCGCACCGGGACTAGGAACCGCCGTGGAGCAGGTGTCTTCGCTTGTCGCGAGTGGGCAGACCCGCGGGCAAGAAGCGCAGATGGAGATGCAGGGGCGCCAGCCCTAGGCGGGCTGACCAAGCACTGCCGGGTCGAGGACTGGAGCAGGTCCTAGACCCCTCGGGTCCCCGGCCCAGCCGGGTTGCTCGCGGGCGGCCCCAGGC